ATATGTTTAGAGCCCGTCATATGACCCATATGACGCTCTAGGAACGGTCTACGTGCTCTGATCCCAGTGTGCAGGGATCCCGAACTTGGCCTATTTGCCGTCTTAATTGTCATCAACTCAAAGTTTCCGTCAAGTGGCAATCGGAGCAGTGCAGTCTGCATTCTTCAGCGATAAGAACTGCTTTGTTGGGCCATCTGGGAACGGAAATTCGAACGGGTTTTGTTCGCTTTATGGCGCTTGTTTTTCACTTTCGACCGCCACTGCTACTAAATGTGAATAGAATAGCGGAAAAGTTCATTCTCTGGCTAATTTTAATCATGATCGATGCAACAGCTAGCGGTAATCTACAGAAAAAACCCGAGATGAGGTGAATGGGGTGGCGTATAACCGGTTTGTTCATTCACATGGCCAGATCCACGCCCATTGTGCTTAGCAAACAGAAGATGCCGCTAACACGGACCCACTTGATGGAACTCAGTTTTCAGTTCGTCTGGTCTGTTTATCTGCTAACTGAATGCCAGGCGGTTCACAAGATGCCGAAATCCATGAGCAAACTTGTGGGGAAACCTATATTTTTCCAATGCAGAATATTATATGCTCTTGCGAAGGTCAAGAATTCTGACTAATAAAAACAAGGTGGTGGCTATTCAGTTTGAAAAATCTTGTCAAGGACGTACAAGCCTTATTTTAGATAATGAAAAAAAAATTAAAAATGATTTAGAAATGATAATATTATATAGGAATGTTACCTTCTAACATATATTGTGTTTTGCCCTGTAAACACATTTTATAATATTTCTACTATTTCTTAAAGAAAATGAATATTATTTAGAAGTTTACAAACATTTTGATTTGTATGCATTTTGTTTTGTGCTGAGTGCTCTTAATTGTTTAAAGAACTAATTCCATTAACCGTCTAAGTGGTGTCCCCAAAGTTCATTTGCTTTCCAACGTTCTGCACTTCAGGTTGATCCAGCTAGTGCTTTAGTACTACCCCAATGGCCGGACAATAGTGTGATATTAGTGGCCATTGCATTTGATTGCCGATTTCCGTTGGAATGGCTCTGGGGTCTGGGGTGTGGGGTCTGGGGTCCGGGTGTGGGAACTTTTGGGGCCGACTCCAAAGTTGCATACGAGGGCATAATTGGGGAACCGCCTCTCCGCTGCGGCGCCAAAACAGAGAACTTGTCACAGTTTTTGGCCGCCGTTCAACTTGGCAGGCAATCATAAGTAATGTTCTTGCTCCCCAGCACATGAGCACATATGTACTATGTGGTTCTCGGTGCCCCACAGAATTCAACTTGTTCTATATTCGTCAACGACTCATTACAGGCGATGCGATACACCGCCCACGCGGCGTATGCGTAATGCGCAGCTAATTTGTGGGGCAGACGCGAATGTGGGTTGCAAGTTGACCCCAGATGTACCATGGGTGGCCCTACCTTCGTCCCAGGGATGATGCTGATGTGGCTGCTGCTCCTGCTGGTGGTTGGATGGATTCTCGGCCTCAGCTGCCCGAGATTTGCGTCCTCTTTTGGAGCGTTTCGACTCCATTTTTGCGGATGCGGCTGCGGCTGCTGGCTAAGATTTACTTTTTGGCTACAAGACACGCGCGTAAATAGAATAATATATATTTTTATGTCGGATATAGGACGGTGTGTGCGTTTTTTATGTGCTCGTGGTTTATCTTTTTCCGTGACGCACACACAAGTGACATTTGGCAAACACACACAAAATCCCGCACTCTGTCGCGTTTTTTCGAACTTTGCGTATTTTTTGTCGCTTCGATTACTTGGCGCGTCCGCAGCGAAACACGAATATATATGTATATATATTTGGCTTGAATATATATTTTAGATTTAAAATTTTCTCAAGTTATTTATAATGCGGTGATTTAATTTAACACACACTCGGCCACTTTTCATATTCCCTACTTGCCAAAAAATCACGAGAAATGGCGACAGCACTTGCTCCTCCTCAGTACGATATACTCGTATTCCAAAAAAAATTAATTACCAAATTAAATTGTATGGGCATTACGTGACAATGCGAAGTTTGGAATCGAGGCTTATGGAGGAGGGGTAAAAGCTCTAACTTTAACGATTATTACGGATAATGATGAGTTTTCCTCCTAACTGCCGCCGCCAAACTGATGAACTGCCGGACAAGCGAACCGCTGGCCGGTTGCCTCGCTTATTACTGGTCGGGTTGGTATTATCTATATAAGTGGGCACATACAGGTATAACCGAGAACTGAGCCCCGAGAAGTTGGGTGTTGGGTGAAAAGTGAATGAAAATCGCGCACGGAGTCCGCTGGTCGTCCATGCGTCGTCGTTTTTGGTTTCTGTCGATGATCTGTCGTCGATCGTGGATCGTGGATCGTTTGCCGTGCCGTACCGCGCGCGACTAACGCCGACTAAACCTGCGGCGACTACGAGATCTGAAAGCTTTTCAGTTGGTTTCACTTTTGGACTGGCTGGTTTTTTGTTTTTTTTTTTTGTTTTTTGTTTTTTGTCACTGGTGGTGGTCACACGCCGCGAGCATTTGTTCCGCGTTCTCTGGCGGAAAATATTTATTTTTACGGAGCCGCTCTCCGGCGCTGCGGCTTTCCGGAATTCATCAATCGAAATGCACTTGCTTATCATCACACACTATTTCGCTTGGAAAAGGTATTTTCAGGGATATAGCCTCTGCCATATCGAGTTGGTTGATTGCCAGCCAGATTGGTAATGGAAAAAGGGTTGGGGTTTTCTCTTGACTCGATAAGGCGTTTTGGTAAAGGGAGTTTTTCAGATCTATTTTACCCATCAGCTCAGTTTGTATCAGAAATCTTGCATGGAAAACTGCTAATTGAATATCAAAAGCCAATTCAGGGAAAGCTATCAAAATTTCTGTGTTTTTTCAATAATAGGAATATTTTCATGTGTTGTGTATAGCACTAGAAAAAGTCGTATTTTTATGATTGGCCCTTCTCTTGAATAACTAATTTCTAAAGTTTTATAGAGTTTTGGCATTCCCCTTCACCAAGCCACTGCAATTAAACTAATAAAGCTCAGCACTGATGGCATCTATTGTCTGGGGTGCATTAAACTGTGATTACGATTTCAAAACGGCAAGTTCATCAAAAGTTTTGTGCAGTGGACGCGACAAGTTCAAGCTGTTGAGTCGGCAGATTGCGTGTTTTGTGTTTCAGCCATGTTTATGAGGATGCAATCCCCCCAACTCGAAGGGCCCAAGAGCCCAACAACCCAGCAGTCGGGTTCAATTGCCGCACTACAAGCCATCGGAGATGGAGACGCCTTTGTGGGCCACTAAAAGTGGCAACTGCTACTGCTGCTCATCAAGTTCATTCCACTTGGCATTAAGTGCGCCCAAACAAACAACCCAAGAATGCTGCAACAGACACTGACAGTGAGATCTGTTTATAGACCCGGTCGGCATTTAATTGCTGGGAAAGGAATGTGTAGACTGCAGGAGTGTTTTCAGTTGGTTACATAAAAACTATGTGCATAGTATTTGCCAGAGTCCAATCCATTCCCCTGATTAATCAGGCAAAAAGCATGCCATTAAAGTTGCATTAGCCTAAACCAGGACATCTACTACATCCTTGACCTTTGAGCCAAGTGCAGGTGCAATGAGTGGGCGTGGATTTCTATGGTCGCTAATTAAAGCTAAGCATGAAAACACGTGCGTGGGACAACAGCAAAAATAGATCCGGATTCGGATCCGGATCCGGGTCCAAATCCAAATCCATGGAAACCTACAATACCAACTGTGTCCTCAGTGGGTCGAAGTTGATTGGCAGGATGTGGACGACGACGACTGGGGGAGTAGCTAGCTAGCTGGCTGGAATCCTTGACAACATTCAACCGGGTAACATGCCATTAATCAAACGCACACACGTGAGCAGCTCCACCTGCCCGGAGCGACTTATTTATGAGGATATTTATCGATTTGCCTGCCGAATTGTTCAATTATTTGGGTTACTTCTGCCCATCGGGAGCCGAAACACCACTGCACATTTGCCACTGTCTTGTTTTTTTTTTTTTTTTGTTTTTCCCCTTTGCTTTTGGGTCCCATCAATTAATTATCCTTTTAGCCTTCCACTGGGCAACACACTTCCGCATCCGGTTCGCAATCCGATATGTCCGGCGATGGACACCGACTGCAGCACTGAGGATTTTGGGCTCGGTCGCCGCCGCCACTTTAATTCCATTTAGACCGAAGCTCCTGGCAGACTGGTGGCTCTGTTTATGTTTATCCCTGCGCCTGCACTGCCCTTGTTGTGGTATTTGCTATTGTTGCCGGCATCGGCAGCGGTGACCCGTTCATCTGCCGTTGGTGAATCATGCGCACTGGTGGCCAAGTGTTCCTAGCGCTCCCATCGGCAGTTCCTTTCATGTGCTGGTCGAGAAGCTATTTTGATGACCTGCTTCTGGAGGGATGCGTACTTTTGGTAGTCACCGTTGTTGGCTTCTAAGGGCGATTGGTGAATCATGCGCAGCAAGGCGAGGTTTACTATAGAATGGCGGGCATTGCGATTTTGAAATAAAATATACTGTCTTATATTATTTAAAAATAACTATGTATACATAATGCATGCTTAACTTACGTTTCCAATAAATATTTTCGATTATTAAAACACTTCAAGTCGTAATAGAGTAATGGCGGGCACTTTTGACTTATATATTTAAATATTGCGCCAAATAGTGTTGGTTAATGCTTAGAACACTGAAATTTGTTTGATCTTACCTAATGCTAAAAAGTGTTACATTTTTATTTTAGTATTTACGTCTACTCTTTCTTAAGTTGGTTGTCCTAACGTAAAGGTTTTAAGTATATATCTTTATATAAATGTTACTTATAACAAATCTAAATTAAATAAAGAGTTAATATATTGAATGCTCATATTATTTTAATTAAAGGTTACTTTATTTATTTATATATTTTGTTTATATATTTTTGTGATTTAGTAAAAGTGTTTAGTTCCAGACTCCTACTCGCTGGTTTGGCCGCATGCCCACTTGTTTGAGCGCTACTCGTTGATTTCGCCGTAGCGAGTGGCAACAGCTGATCGCAATTAGATAATAGTATAGAATAGTATTCCCCAAAATTAACATGGCTCTGAGATTTGTGGCCCAGTCATGCAGATCCTTGCTGCAGCGTGGCGATCGGCCTTTGTCCTGGACCCGTGCCCTCGCTCATTATCCCGTCAACGATGCGATGTTTGGTCTGGATGAGGATCGCCAAAAGTTGCGGGAAGTTGCATTCAATTTCTTCCAGAAGGAACTGGCGCCTTTGGCCAAGGAAATCGACAAACTGGATAACTTCAAGTAGGATAATGCAGAATAAATATCCCAATTACCTTTAATTAAATATTTTTTTCTAGGGACATGCGCCCTTTCTGGAAGAAACTGGGTGATCTCGGCTTTCTGGGCATCACTGCGGAGCCGGATTTTGGTGGCACTGGGGGCAGCTATTTAGACCACTGCATTATCATGGAGGAATTCTCCCGGTAAGATATATGTATACAAAGCTTACAAGATAAGCTAAACGATCTTCATAAACCTTTGCAGTGCTGCTGGAGGCGTGGCCTTATCCTACGGAGCACACTCCAATCTGTGCATCAATCAGCTGACCAAGAACGGCACCCTCGAGCAGAAGGAGAAGTATCTTCCCAAACTGTGCAGTGGCGAGCACGTTGGAGGACTGGCCATGTCCGAACCGGGCGCTGGATCCGATGTAGTATCCATGAAGCTGCGTGCCGAGCGCAAAGGAGACTACTATGTACTGAACGGATCAAAGTTCTGGATCACAAATGGATCTGATGCAGATACTTTAATAGTCTATGCCAAGACAGGCGGCAGTGGTGTTCCGGACAAGCATGGCATTACCGCTTTTATTGTCGAAACCGCTTGGGAAGGCTTCAGTGTGGCCCAAAAGCTGGACAAGCTAGGCATGCGGGGCAGCAGCACCTGTGAACTGGTCTTTCAGGATCTGAAGGTGCCTGCCAAGAACATTCTGGGCCAAGAGAACAGAGGCGTATATGTACTAATGTCGGGATTGGACTTTGAACGACTTGTGCTGGCCGCCGGACCCGTGGGTCTGATGCAGGCCGCCTGCGACGTGGCTTTCGACTATGCCCACCAGCGCAAGCAGATGAACAAGTTGATTGGAGAGTTCCAGCTGCTGCAAGGAAAGATGGCTGATATGTACACCACACTGAGTGCGTGCAGGAGCTATTTGTACACGGTGGCCAGATCCTGTGACGCCGGCAATCGCAGTCCCAAAGATTGCGCTGGCGTTATTCTCTACACCGCCGAGAAGGCCACCCAGGTGGCTCTCGATGCCATTCAGATCCTCGGTGGCAATGGTTACATTAACGAGAATCCCACTGGCCGCATCCTCCGAGATGCCAAGCTGTACGAGATCGGCGCGGGAACCTCCGAGATCAGACGGTGGCTGATTGGTCGCCAGCTCAACCAGGAGTACAAGTAAATAGAGTACCTACTCTTTTTCCAATGTAACCCAGAATCGTATTTATGGTTTGACAACTGTGGCAATGACGTGGAGCAACTCTACTACCTGACAGACTAAATGTTGCATTTATTTTTGAAGATTTATAAAATCTGTATGTTTTATCAATGTTTATATGTGCCTTAATAAAAGAAGTAACCATTATGTTAAAATATTGTTTTTTTTTTATTAATTTACAAAAAATACACAATTTAAATATGCAACTGCATACACGACTCGCACACGTACGTATATACAAAGAGAAATAAAAAGTATTGATTACATCGAATAAAATTCACAACTATAGAACAAGGGTTGACTGCTCTACGTATGGGTGAAAAACAAGTTTCATGTTTAGTGCACAGTAATAAATTGCATTGAAATAACAACAAAGTGAAGAACCAAATTTGTTTGTGTTACGCTTATAAGAGGTTAATTGTAATTTCGTTGAATTTAAAGAAGTTTGCCTGAATAAGTATCGCACATCTCATATCAGTATATATATTGGCAATTAAATGGCAAATAAACACGTAGAACACAGATTTACGAAAACAGAAACTTGATTAGCAATATTAGGTTGTTAATATTAGGCTGATTATATGGTAGGGGTAGAGGCATATAGATGTAGTTCCGCTAGTGGCTAATTACAATTAATATTAAATTATTTCTATTAGTATGTTTATGGGTGTGTAAATGTTAAAAGCACTTTTGGCAATCATCAATCAACCTGCTCATCACCAAGCTCGAACATTTACTTAAGCAACTAGAATTGCTTCAATTGGAGCGCTCAATCCAATCGAAAACTATGCTTCTCCGTCTTGGTCTCCGATCGGGATTCCGTTGTTGTGGTAAAGGACTTGCGTTCCATCACTCGCTGGGTCATCGAGGTGAGTCGCTCCGAGCCTTGGTCAACAATGCTGATCTTGCCGCCATCGGTGTTGAGGGTCATCTGCGAGAAACTTGACTCCAATGGCTTGACCGCTCCAAGTTCGCTGCTGCTGCTGGTGGTATTGTTGGCTGACTTGTCGAAGTTACGCGTCTCATATCTGCAATTTACCAAGAGGATTAGCAAAAGCAATCAAGAAGGTAAGAGTTCAATCTCACCTGGACGTGTATCCCTCGTAGTTTTGACCCGGATAGCCATTTCCTCCCGTAAGCTGTACTACACCGCCCTGACCGAACGTCTTGTCATGCAGATCCTGCACACACGCCGCCAGATTCCGGTTTGCAGTGGGCTTCTTTGGCACCGCCGGTGGAGATGAGTTTAGCGTTTTAATGCTGGACGACTCATAACTTTGCTGGTAGTTTGTGTTAGTGGGTGTGCCTGAGGTGGTGGGTGCAGGGATTAAGCCATTGCTGCCGCCTGGACTACCTGGATAGGGCCTGGGCACCGCATTGGCTGTTAGCTTGGGATTAGGGCGGAAACTGTGACCCGATGTGGCGGTTTGCATGTTAGAAATGGTTGTAGACAGTGGTGGCGGTGGTGGTGGGAAGTCTCCACTGGGATCGTCCATCGGTGGATAGTTGGACGGCGGTGGAGACACCGCTCCTGGGTGATGGAAGTGCTGCGGCCGCGGACTGGTATTGTTGTAGTGATGCTTCTGCTGCTGGCCACCGGACAAGTAGCTCGGCGAACTGGGCATCTCGCTGGAACCGTAGTAACCGCTGCGACCCAAAGTCTGTTATGGTTAGAGGTTAGAAGAGAGAAAAGAAATACTGCCGGTTAGATTGGTTACTTGTTAGATTGGCTACCCACACCAAATTAGAACTAGACTACTTGAATCAAAATGGTGCTTCAATTTAGCCATCTCAATGCCAATTTTCTTTTGTTCGTGCTTTCAAAGACTAATACAAAATATAACAATGTGGAAAAAAGGTAAACGTGTTTCATACATTGTTCTGGCTTCTATTGGCGTACTCGGTGTCACTTTCGTCTGTGGTGAATCCCTGAGCGTTCTTCGCGAAGCGCTGCGCGTGGCGAACATTCTTCAGACGCTGTCGCGCCTCCTCCAGTTCCTTTTCCTTGCGCAGCACGGCGGATCGAGCGTTGATTTCCTGAGCCATGCCGTCGACCATAGATGTATTTATGGTAATAAAGCGCTCCTCCTCGGCTTCCAGGCCCTGTTGGGCAGAGCGCACTAGGTTGTCTGTGGACTTGATCACTGCATTGCCAGCGGCCTGGAGACGACGACCAGCCTCAGAGTTTGGATTGGACTTCACCTTGCAGGCAATCAGCAGCTGGGCAGTGGAAGCGGCCACCTGTTTGGCTGTAGAAATTAGCGTTTCCTCGGTGGCCACTCCGCGCACCAGGTTCTGGGCTGCCTCCACCAAGCTGTGAGTGGCGGCGGCCACAAGTCGGGCGGCCGAAATGAGACCCTCCGACCACTGGCCATCGTCGGAGCTCGTCAGCGGACGTCGGGCCACCTTGCCCGTGTCGATGAGCTCACGCTGAGCAGCGTTTGCAGCACGCACCAAGGCAGCAGATGCTCCCATTATTCCCTTGGCGGCCTCCAAGATCATTTCGTCGAACTTCATGTTTTCGTCGAGTTCAATCTGTGTGGCAGAGAAATCAAAGATGAAATATTATTACATGCTTACTGAATGTATGAATACGAATAGAACAATCACCAATGGGGTTTAGTTAAGATCTCGAGCTGAGTGTTTTAGTAGATTGGCGAAGGCTACAGTAATAATATGTTTGATTCCTGGGTGAACTTTTGAATGAAACAACCAAGAATATCAAACATATCTCACTGGAACCATCAATTAGTTCGATTTGAAGGGCTAGTTAGGGATAAGTCAAGCACCGCTTATATATTAGAATGAGTTTTCAATTATATCACTATAGTTAGTTATCATTCACCATTAAAACTAGGTTTGAATACTTGTATGTAAAGAAAAGCAAAGACGCACCTTGACATCGGCCTGACGACGAGGACGCAGTGAGGCCAATTTCTTGGCGGCAGCATCGATGGAGGCAGCAGCGCCCAACAGCTCGTTCTCCGCAATGACCGTGGGATCCTCGGGATCGATCCAATCGGAGCCTTTGAGCAGCCTGGCCATGCCCACCAGATCGGTGACGCACTTGGCAACGCGACGCGACAAATGCATGCGATCGTCGGCACTGCAATTGTGCAGGATACCACTGAGCAGCTCGCGGTACGATTCCCCGACAGCAGTTCCTGCCTCCAGAGTGCGTGCTCTCAGCTCCTCCGTTTCGGCACAGTTCCAGGCCACGGAGCGGCAGACGATTAGCATGTCAGAAATGGCACGACGTCCCAGATTGGCTGCAGATACAATATCAGCTTGCAAATTGGAGGTTCCGGCAGCAACAGCCTTGGCAGTGGCGGCCGTCACATTCATGGTCACTCGGATCAAATCCTCGGGTCCCACCTGGGTGTTTCCAACTGGTGGGGGAGTGTGCATGGCCTGTAAGAATACAAATTACAGTGTTAACATAAGTTCCTTACAAATAATATTATAAACTTACCCGAATCTCCTGTGAGATCGCTTCCACGGTGGCCTCCATTGCACGAGTACCGCGAGTGTGCTCATCCTCGACAGCCTTCACAGTCTTCAGCAGTGAGGACACATTCAGCACCATTACCTATTTGTTTGCGAATGTAAATAAGTTTTTTGGGAGCAGAGCAGAGATGTTTGTGATTAATGTTTGGTCAGTAAAGAAGTGGTTTGAAAAGAGTTGCTTATAGATAGGAGCATGTCTACGATTACAAACTACTCTACCACTACATTAGATATTCTACTACTACTACAACATTCTAATTGGCTTTGGCACTCTTACAAATCAATATAAAACTAAAATGTAGAACAAATATATTCCATTTGCTTTTTATTATACGCATAAGTAATAAGAATTAGTTTTAAAAATGACTTGATAACATTCAAAAGAGATAAATGGGAACTTCTAGGCGCAAGGTAAGCGTTTTCAAATTCAAAATTGTTTGCTGTCTAAGAGGACTTTAATTCTCATTGCTCTTCCCAGCACTTAAAAGTTCTCTTACAATCAGATTGAATTCAATTTCTCGAGTGGCGAAAATTATGTTTCATTGTGCAATGGAGTAATGCAAGTAGAATTCTGTCCCAGAATTTCAGTTGGCCATGATGTCGACGCTGCTGCTGCCGAGGAGGATGTGGCTGCCACTTCGCATTTCAGACTGTGGGTTAGTTTTTGAATGGCCATTGTGGGCAGCTGTTTGGCAAACATCTTGAAGCGTCTGCTCGGCGTTATTTTTGTTCGATTTCGTTATATTTTTCGATTTGTACATACATATGTATATGCGGATGAATGGAGATTTTTGTTTGATATCGATTTGATAGCAGATTGTTTTCCACAGCGAGCGCAGCGCATGAAGAGAAGGAGGAGCGTGGAGCGGTTTGAATTCGATTTGCATTTTTGTACAGTTCATGAGTGTATTTTTTTATTTTTCGGTTTGTGTGTTGTGGGAAAAAAAGAAGAGCAGATACGTCGAAGGCACAAAGAATTAGCAAAACGAAAAAATACATCAATTTATGGATTTTCCCATTTGGTTTTCTTTTTACAAACGTTGGAAGTGGTGGGTGGTAGATAGTAGGTGGGTTGTCGGGTGTTTGGGAAGGGTGGGTGTTTGGATAGGTGGGTGGTTGGGGTGCCTCGGTGGTTGGGAGAGCGCAGCAAGCAACAGCAGCAGCAGGGCCGGAAGGGATGGTACTGGCATGCCCACGGTGTTAGAGCTGGGCAAGAAGGGTGGTTGAGTAGCCGGTCGAGAAATCTCTTGTTTGCTGCCAATGCTGCCAGGGAATTAATGCAAGTAGTGGGCTTTTCATGGGTGCGTTCGGTTAAACATTGATAACATTAATAACATTAAAGAAACGACAACAGAGAGCTGAAGCTTTAAAGGGATCAGGATGCAAGAGAGACGCCTTTTTTTGCAATTATTTGCATTCAAAAATTCAGGCAGCAGCAGTGGGTCTTTTTGAGTTATGCCAAATATACACAGATACTTTTATGAGGTTGGTTTTTCGAGCGGGTGTTGGGATTCCCCTTTTTTTAGGTGTATGAGTAGATGAGTGCCAAAGCCATTTGATGTTTATTCATGTTGAATTTTCAATATGCCACAAACAACATTTATGTATGCGCGTTACATATTTTGCGTGGAAAAGAAAAA